TAGGCGGGGTTGATTTTTTTGAGTGATGAACCGTTTTAGAGGTGGTTTTGGGTTGTTTTTTTTTGTTTTTTTTTTGACATTTCCGAAGAGTTCATTGCCATGCCAGAGCTAGAGAGCAGCCCCGCCAAACCGTACAGCATTGTCACGCCGGATGGCTTCGAGAGAGCATTCCCACCGCACGACTAAGGGACATCTCGCACTCGGAAATGTCCGGAACGCGGCTCGGGCAGCGGTCAGCACCCGGGCAGGCGGCAGTGGGGAAGGCTGCCGTCGCGCCAGTCCCTCCGTGGTGAGACGGGGCCGCCTACTCCAGAACCACAGTCCCTCCTGCTGCCTCCAGCGCCGCTTTGATCTTCTCTGCTTCCTCCTTGGAGGCGTTAGCCTTGATCTCCTGCGGAAGGGACTCCACCAGCTTCTTTGCCTGCGGGAGGGACAAAGTACGAGACCCGTAAACTGGCTTTCACTAACCAGATGAACAGATTTAGAGCCAGGAGCCTGACCTCCACCCAAGCAGACCAGGGAAACTCACCGACTGGTCCAGACCCCAAGACTTTTACTTGGACTACAGCACATCCTGACGGAAGACACCTAAACCGGACCGCCAGCGACGGCACACCCACTGTAGCCCTGCAAGACCCTTTTTCAGACCCTTTTTCAGCGAGCAATTGCCAGTAAATTCCTCCCAACCACGTGCATGGTGCTCCCAGAAGTGCAGCCCCGGTCCAAGAAGGCGCCTGGGACGCCGCAGAGCCACCACACAGCCACCTGCCAAGGCCGCCGCCGGCCTGCGTTGGGCCAGCTTTTTTCAGCACAAATGTTTTGGTTCACATATTTCTGCCAGCGGGGAGGAGAGGCCGTCTCAGGGTTTGCATGCAGCTGTGCAGGAATCCACCGGACTAGGTTAAAAAAAAAACAAACCCAAAACCAAACGAGTTCCAGTCCAGACTCTGCTTGACAACACGATCTTGACGGGTACAGGGCTTTCCGTACAAACCTATCGGTACTACGCAGTACCGTGATATTTAAGGCAAGCTGAAGAGCTGTCAAACCACCTAAAGGGACTTCCTGCAGAGTGCTGTACAGCCCCGGAGCACAAGCCCCTGGCTGCAGTCGGATGCTCCTGCTCTTAGGCCAAGCAGCAGCAGCAAAGCTTTTTGTCTGGGTGCTCGGAAGCAAAGCCCGGGGAGGTTCCCACGGTGAAGAGCTGCTGCCAGCTCTCTGCTGTGTGGCACTGCGGGTGCTTAGCACCCAACAGACTGACCGCTGCTGACAGAAAGAAGGTGGTGGTGTTTTAATTCACGTTGGGTGCAGTGATGACATATCCGTGGTGGCGGAAGATGCTTTTTGTGCTAGGGGTGGGAAGGTGTAGCTGTGCCGGCACAGCTCGGCAGGGCAGGCATGCCTTCACTCAGCAGGGCCCAGGACAGTGTCCGGAAAGGAGCCTGTTCTGGCGTGCTGTGATGAGGACAGGCAACACAATCAAGGCTATTCATGCGATATCCTTGCTCACTAAAGCTTAACTTCTGTCCTAAAGCAGCCTTGGTCAGAGGAGGCAGCTCTTCAGAGCTCCCAGCAGGAGGGAGAGCAGGGCCCGAGCCAGGCTGGGCCTGCACAGAACAGCCATGGGGCAGAGAGGCAGCGCGCTTCCAATCCCAGATCCACAGAGCGCACGAGAACGCTAGCCCAGGGCTGGTGAAGACACGAGGCAAGCGTCTGTTGGGCCGGCTCCGAACGAGCTTGAGCCTGGCTTGCGCTGACGACGTGCCTGTCTCCCCAAGCAGTTGCTTCTGTAGGGCTGAGCTGTTCGAGTCATGTCAGCACACAACGTCCCAAGAGTTTAGTAGCAGTGCTTTCCTCCAAATCGTTAACAGCCAGGAACGATTGCCTGCAAACCTCATTAAAAACACCTCAGCTGGGTGGCCATAAAACTTACGATAAAAATCTATTGGTTACGCTTTGAAGACAACCTCTGTGGACAGAAGCAACTGTCAGCAGTAGTTTGTTCTGTGAGTGTGTGCTTTAACCAAAATACCGGGTCGGGTAAAGTCACGCTTGACAAAGTTTACCTGCGGTAACCTGCATCTACCAACCTTGCACCTGCGTCGGAGCCATAACCCGCTGGTTTGACGGGCTCCACGTGCCATGCCATGTTGGTTTAGCATTAGCTCCCCAGACAGCTTTTAATTATCCACGGATTGCGTCCGTTACAGGGTTTTGGTATTTTAATGTTTGCTTGGGTCTGATAATGGAACCGCCAGACCACCCAAGCTGACAGTCAGTTAATTATCCCCATGGGCCACGGAAGCTCACGTCTCTGCCACCAGAGTTTCCCTGTTACTGAACTGTTTGCTTTGCAATATATCGATATGGATGGGCCAGATCTCCTGCAAATCCTTCTGATATCCCAGGCTACAAATGAGAGCAGATTGTACAACACGCAACGTTTCTTCCTTGCAACTGGATTAATAAAAAGACCTACTGTTATCCCCAAGATATGAAAGCATCATCCGGTGGAGAGCTGAAGCACGTTAAATGCTTCCGCGGTAGCAGCTGTATCACCCATTCTTTGTTCTCAGCCTACATCCCTGCTCACGGGCACCAGCTCAGATGCTGCACAGGACTGTGAAAAGCCCATCTGCCCCGAAGAAAAAGGAAGAGGCATCACCTACAAAAGGGAGAGCTCCGAAAGGGACTGGAAGCACGCATTGCAAGATGCGTGAATTAGAAAAACTCATCTAAATTCTGAGGTGCGTTAGCCTTGAAAAAGCAAAAACCTTTGGGGGAAGGCAAGCCAAATCCAGCTGTAGCGAGGAACCCTGGCCACTCCCAAGTTCTGCGAGAAAGCTCACAGCAGCTCTTAGATTTGGAGAAGCTGAGGCTGGCACGGAGGGCTTGGAGGTCTTTGCTCTGAGCCTCCTCCTTCGTCCCACAGCTTCTGCTAGGGGCTCGGTTGTTCGCCACGCAGCAGAGCTGGGCGGAAACAGCTTTCCCTAAAAAATGCCAGACAAACAAGACGCAACCGACCCCCACCCAGCGCCTCATCCGCATCTTTGCACCGAGGGGTGCACGCAGGCAGAGCGTTCCCCTAGACAAGGAAACCCTGGCTCCCTTTTGAACAGAGAACTGAGGCTGCCGCTTGCAACGCGATTCAGAGCCTGTCCGGGCTGGCGGGCGACGCGGCCGGAGCCTCGGGCAGCCCCCTCCTCACCTGCACCAGGTTCACTCCCGGCACGAAGTTCTTGACCTCCTTGATCAGCTTCACCTTGTCTGCAGGTTTCAGCTCTGTCAGCCGGACGGTGAAATGCGTTTTCTCTTTCTTGAGCGGGATCTCCTCCTCCTCCTCCTGGAAGCAGCCGGAGCTGGGTGAAGACACCCGGCCAGCGGCCCTCCTCCCCGCCCCCCACG